CCAAGTCAACGGTACGATGCTGGAAATCATCATGAAAACTCGAGGGCAGAAGACGCTAGACTGGGTATTTCCACAAGTTACGAAAATGAGGACAAACCAAAAGCATACAACTAAAGGAGACTGAGGCAAAACGAAAGACTACAACATCTTGTAGATACGAAGAGAAAGTTGGTTTCGATGAATCTCCTGATATAACATTGTTAGGGGGACCTTCATTTCGTATGAAAGTGCATGAAGAAGAGATTCATTGGTCGATCTCACCGGATGAGGACGGATGAACCTCGTCGTACTGCAGTCGTTTGGTTTGTACACGATATTTATGTTGACGCAGTCCACGAGATTTCCTCCCTTGTTTCAAAAGTTACGCATCAGCTGCATAATTAACGTCGTCGATTAAACCGTCAAAATGCAGGTAACTAATGTCCGTGCTGTAGCACCACTTGTATTTTTACCAATTTAAAGAAATTTGAAGCATTTCGCTTCAATGAGCGAAACTCACCGAGGAGGCATAGGGTCTGGTGAATTGCGAATTGAAAACACAAAACGATCCACCATCGCTTAACAAGGCTGAAACTATCGAATGTAACTGAATTTTTGATCAAATTGCTGAATGCTTTTGTCTCTTGGATTATTTTATAATTCACTAGTAAACTGAATTAATGTATCAAAATGATGTAAAGCCCTGAAATTAACATTTTTCCAATGAAGGTTCCTCCATGGAAAAGATTTATTTTACTTTTCCTTCTGCTTTGATCATTCTGCGTCTATTTAAATTGCATTTTTTTTCCATAAGGATGCTCTCTTTCATCATCTCTAATTTATAGATTTTACTGAGTTTGGTAGAGTGGAATGGCCTATCTGCTGCCAGCATGGTAATTTTCTCAAAATAAGGGGTAGCTGTGAATCCGGCTAGCTATTCTCGAGACAAGTGCCTAAAGCTCTGTCTCTAAAGCACCAAATCTCATTCCAATTGGTAAAGCTTATTTAGAAGGCAAGGGCTGGGTTTCGTTTTGTTTGGATCTGTATGAGTGGGAGTCGATTGTGTCTTTTTTTTTGTTACAATTTCAAGGTACAATGCTCCCTTTCGACGACCCATTCAAGAGTGGGTGCAAAAGTTGAGCACTACCAGCGAGGTTCTGGAGATTTGGATGCGAGTTCAGAATCTCTGGGTCTACCTGGAGGCCGTGTTTGTGGGTGGTGACATTGCAAAACAACTGCCGGCCGAGGCGAAGCGATTTCAGGCCGTGGACAAGACCTGGGTCAAAGTGATGGAAAGGGCTCGCGATACTCCCAACGTGTTGACCTGCTGCGCTGGAGACCAGTCACTGTTAGAGCTGTTGCCAAGGCTGCTGAGTCAGTTAGAATTGTGTCAAAAGTCGTTGACTGGATATTTGGAGCGTAAGCGACTTCTCTTTCCTCGTTTCTTCTTTGTCTCCGATCCCGTCCTACTCGAGATTCTCGGCCAAGCCTCCGACCCACACGCCATCCAGGCCCACCTACTCGCTATTTTCGACAACATTAAACGAGTTCAATTCGCAGATAAAGCATATGAGATATTGTATGCCTTTTCACAGGAAAACGAAAAACTGCCAGTAAGCACATTTCCCGATCTTTGCATAATCTTAGCTCACATTATCATGGCTGCTTCAATTGAAGCACCGAACAAATGTGTTACTAAAAATAATACAATTCATAATATCTGATGTACATAATTTTATGCAACTGTGATAATTAGTCCTTACTAACTTCTCTAAACCTCTCCTATTCAGGATAATGTAAATGCGATGAAGAAAAATTAGATCTTGAAGAATTCCTTAGTTTTTTTATTGAGACATGACATTCCATTTTGAAGAGAGAGTAGGTTGGAAGGAATTCGTGATGTGGTCTCACCGGAAACCGAAGGAGGATTGCTTCGTAAGGAAGACTGTTTAAATGTGCTAAGCTTTTCTCTGTACTGTTACAGACATCGTCAGAGCATGTATCCATACTTAACGAAATAGAGAAGCCAAGCCAATCATGGCATGCCCATTAAGATCGCGAAGTTAAACGTGCAAAAAAGCAACTATGGATGTAGCCGGTCACCTTTTTCCTTGGTTTGGTATCTTTTTGCTCCAATTCGCAAAGTATGGATGCCTGCTCTGATGATGTCTGTCACGGTGGTACAGACGAAGGCTTA